TGTGGGTGGGTGTGGGTGTGTGTGGGGGTGTGTGGGGTGTGTGGGTGTGTGGGTGTGTGGTGTGTGTGTGTGTGGGTGGGTGTGTGTGTGTGGGTGTGGGTGTGGGTGTGGGTGTGGGTGATTCACAAAGGAATGTCACCCTGCATTTCAGATGGCGGGTCGTCGTCTTAGTGTCGTAGTAGGTTTCGTAGTAGTGGTGGCTGTAGTAGTAGTAGTAGTAGTAGTAGTAGTAGTAGTGGTAGTAGTAGAAGCAGCAGCAGCAGCAGCAGAAGACGTGGTGGTGGTGGTGGTGGTGGTGGTAGTAGTAGTAGTAGTAGTAGGTGGTAGTAAGTGTAAGTGTAAGTAGTCATGGTAAGTGGTAGTAGTAGTACTAGTAGCAGTAGTAGCACATCAGTTCACCATAACCCTGACCAGATTATCTGCTGCTCCCCTGTATCTCTCACTACATACACACAGCATATTTATGCATATGCCTTTGTAGCCAATTTCCCGCATTCTAGTGGCTGCTGCTACCATGGCCTCACAGACAGGCTACGCCTACGCGCAATTCCTGACAAGGATTTTTCTGTTTGACCACAACCAAAAATCAGCTGTCGTGATTGGTGCACCCCCTCGCTTTCTATCCTTCTGCACTACTGCAGAATTCGCAGCCGAGCCAGTGCTCAGAACCATTCCTTCGCAAACACAATCTCACGAAGTGTACTGACATCTTCGGCTAGTTGCCACTTCCGTCCGTAGTTGCCTCGCAGCTTGGGCAGAGCGAGAGGAAATGATCATAGTTTCACGAATGAGCGACACTTTGAGGGCTTCGGTGCTATTTCAGATACTGCTGGCGATGCCAGTCCACAACCCCATGTGAGCAGTTCACGAAGGCACAGACGACCCCAATGCCCGAGCGACGACGGAACAGAGCCCATCTCCCACCTTTCAACCAACGGCGCTCCGCAGATATCGAAGTTTCATGAAAGAGTGGGGTTACCGATCAAGCGCTGAAGCTGAAGTGAAGACGGGCTCGCACCGTGAGGCACAGTCTGGCAAGCCAGCTCCGCCGGGCTTCGAGCAACTGCGAGAGATGCCTGGGTGGGCGCCCAAAGTCGGGACTTGTGGCACCTTGAAGGATTGGTTAGCAAGCAGGCAAAAGCAGGATATCCGGCTCGGAGGTAGTATTAGTAGAGAAGCCAAGTTACTTTTTTGGTTCCGGTAAGCTTACAAAGCATTGCCAAGAGGTGGCTGTACCATCGGGACAAGGCCCTGTACTTTCAGCGCGCCGGGCCCCTGGCTTGCTCCCAGAGTGAGAATAGAGCAAGGATCAGCAGCTCCAGGGCTCTTCTTACGCTTCAGGAAAGCGGGCTTCTGTACTGCCGCGACTCCAACAACGAGCTTTATGAGCTGCATCAAGGCCAGGTCGGGTAAACACCTCATTGAAAAGAGACATTGGTCTGCGCCTTCCAATCCTTGGCCCTCCAAATGCATCCAGTCATATCCAGTCCAATCGCCTCCCAAGCTGCTTTCCCCACCTCCGCAAACTAGAAATCCAGCCCATGAATTATGCAATGCAGGTAATTGCTGTACGTAGACTTTTGCACGATTGTGAAAGGGCTCGCGTTATGCAGGTGAGGATTATGGCGGCACGTTGACTGTCCGCGGCGATGCAGCCACCGTGTCTGCCAAGGGCCAGGCGGGGTTGTGCTGGCTGCCCCATACTCCCTCAGCGCTGCCTAACTGTCTTGCTTTGCAGCCGCAGATTTCGAGCAGTCGTGCCATCGACAGAGGTCTTTTCTTTGCTCAGCCGTACGCCGTACGCAGTACCTCGTGAAATATCTTTGTATGCTAAGGCTAAGACTGCAGGTATCATGAGTTCCGGTGATGCCTCTCTGATCCAAGACAGTCTCAAGAAAGCTTAACATTTGATGCACTGCTTGGCAGGCAAGTCGGAATGTCATCATCAATGATCTCCATCGTGCAGCAGCCTCCATGCTACTTGGTATCGCAATCCGTACTCGGTCCGGAAGCGCCATGAAGCGTGATGGGTGAGGAAGCTGGACTTCAGCCACCATGACAGCCCGGCTGCGATGTTCGCAGTTTACGATGCATCTGCCGGACGTGGGGAGCATGCAGAAGCCGCAGCTAAAGGACCTGCTCTGCAGCTCGAAGATTCAAGCGCACTAAGTCCAGCTCAATCGTCGCCCTTTCCGAAAGGTGCTTGAATGGGGTCCCGAGACTGACACATCCCTGCCAGGGCTCCACATGCAGCTCCTGCCGCGCCTTGCTGCGTGGCGTGGCCGTTGGCAGAACGACCGTCTACAGGACCGTACGAGAGTTCGTGAAGAGAGATTTTGCGAGTGTGGGATGGGACTTGCGGCTAGTGGATCAGTCCTCTGGAGTGCGCAGCTCAGAAGCCACGCTGCCCATCATGTAGTGCAGCGAATGGCGTTTATGGCCCCCAGGCGATGGAGAACTTCGGCCCGTCGCAAAACTCCCGACCTTCCCGACCGAGCAAAGCTCCAAACTAACCTTAGAAACTTCAGCAGGGCGTGCTCGCGGAGTCCATTGCGCAGCTCAGGAGATGCGCAGGGATATCAGATTTCGACGGGCTTACTTAGACGGGGTGTCATGACAGGTGTTGTCGGCTGCTTCAGGGGTACCATGACAATCATGTGCTAAGTTCAAGATGAACCTTTGTCCTCTCTGTTGCTTGCCACCTTGCGGGCATCCCAGCTCCAGGCAGGAGATCGCACCTGAAAGGGGTGTTGCCCTGGCAGTGGCGCTTCTGCTTGGTGGACGCCTAACAATGGCCGCAACCGGTGGTGCTATTTGCATGATTTTTGGCCAGGTGGGTCAGTCTGATGGCAACGTGGACAACTTGGAGGTGCTGGGACCAGAGAATGAGGATGCAGAGGCGATGACGCACTGTGCTGTCCTAGAGGACAGCCACTTGGGAGCACTTCTGACTGTGAAAGGTGTACGGACTTCTGGCCTGCCCTCGGCAAGAATGCGTGCTTTGGCCCGATCACATGTCATGGCAGATCGACCTCGGGCAGGCTGTGTCGCACTTCTGGAAGAAGCTCGCAAAGTTGGTGGTGAACCTCCATTAGTGGCGGCTGCGGTGCGATTCAACTGGTCAGGTTCTCGCGGACAAGATCCTGGAAAGCGCCTGAAAACAGATACGCCGCCCAACGGCCTCACGAAGGTCCGTTGCAGGCATCTCCTCTTACGTTATGCGGGATGCCAGGCCTTGTTAGGGGACAGGCGTAAGAAGCCTACACGCACCGTGGGAGATGCTGAAACGCAAATGCTGCACATTCTCCCGCAGATTGCCAATGGTGGACCCGCTGCATTTACCGCAAAGTGCAAGGAAATCTCTGAATGTGACACCGCGATGAAAAGTGGGGACCTGTGCCTTTTCTGCACAGCCATACCTTGTCGCTGTTAGTAATGTTGAAATATTGTCAGTGCCAATTTTAGACGGGGTCGCTAGGCTGGGTGAAGGAAACCCCAGCCAGTGGAAGGGCTGGAGTTTCACACCCTCACGCTGCCTGTGGACAACTCCGATTGGGGTTTCGGGGTACAGTCGATGTGTTCACTTTGAACTTAGGGCCGGCGACTTGGGCTGGCTCGACAGAGATCCGGCAAAAAACCGGAAGGTGCCAGCTGCTGTGGTTCGGGCCGCCTTCTTCCTCGCAGTGGGGCAGGTGAGTGATCTGGTATCATCCGAGCGTGGGATACATCTCATTCTCAGGACTGCCTGACAGCCCAATTAATGTGCATAGCACAGGCTGGAAAAAGGCTTGTGGCGTGCTCTGTTGTTTGCTTGTGTTTGGTGGGATGTGGTCTTTCCGGAGAACTCGGGAACTTGCGGAGCACTAGAGAGCTCAAGTCATGGGCTGATGATGCTGATGTTCTGAAGTTCCGCTTTGAGGCACGGCTTGCCGGAGGTGGCGCGGGGCGCCACTCGGAGTCCCAACTCTGTCGCAGAATCGCGGAATCGCAGCAGTTTCAGTGTTGCACACATCACCATGGATCACTGACTATGTCACGACCTGTCCTCGGTCTTCGGTCACAAAGGCCGTTGTACTGTCCTCGGCATTCTCAGTGATGGTGTCCACGGCAGGAGAGCCCAAGCACGTCCTTTTCAGAACTACTTCGTGTTGGCGAGTTTCGAACACTCTGGCAGGACTCTCACTTCTGCGAGGTGTGGCCCGCAGTTAGCAAGCATCAGCAAGCCAGGAAATGCGGAGACATGTTGCCCTCTTTTTTTGGGCCAAAAGCACTAGTGCAGGCGGCTAGAACCTGCCAACTAATGTGAATAATGAAAGGCAAGCCTCTGGTCGTGCTTTTTCAGGCACAAGACCGAGCGAAGTAGAACGTTTCCGGCATCAGCTCGTCTCGATCTCGGCTCCAAAGCTTGATGCCTGCTGCTCAGCTGGAATTCCATGACCGTACCCAAGCTTCGCCTGAGGATGTTGGATCTCCAGTTCAGCAGTGGATGCTTTGGAATGTGCTTGGCGTTCTGCTGGCCTGTTGACTTCTTGACACTGGGTCTGGTTTCATGCATCGTGCAAAGTTCTAGAGTTGACCATCTGGTTGGGCATTGCTGTTTGGAAGAACGTAACTTGAGCATGCTGCTTGCACTTCATGTTTTTGTCTTCATCTTGGATCAATTTTTGGTAGCTGCAGCGGCCATGAGTCCTGAGTCCATCATTTGCAGGGTCGTCAGGTTGCCCGGACCTGGGGTTAACGATCAGCACCTGCATACTGATTTGGCCTGGGCGACATCCAAGAAGCCAGCTAGGTTCCTCGTTTGACGAGCTGCTTTTTCAGGCTGAGTAGTGGTTGTCCAAGCCATTTACTCAGTCGGATATCTGTAGTAGTCTAGAGTCCAGATGATTAAAGTGTCACCCGTCTCTTGCCAGGTGTTCGGCGCCTTGCTCCTGTACATAGGCCTCCACTTGTGGAATCCGGGCAGCGCTTCGCATGAGACACACATCCTGCAGTCCTGTACGTACGGTCGTATGTAGCTCCGTACCTACCTACACACACACACAGACACACAGACACACAGACACACAGACACACAGACACACAGACACACAGACACACAGACACACAGACACACAGACACACACCACATCCACACACATCCACACACATCCACACACATCCACACGCACACACGCATCCGCACATACACATAATATCCCACACACACACACACACTCACACTCACTCACGCACGCACGCACGCACCCACACACTCAATCACATTCACTCACCCACTCCGTCATTGACTTACTCCTTCACTTGCTCTCCCACTGTTTTTGCGTTTCCTGTCGATGCTTAAAATACACATGTGGGGTTATCCGGTCCTTTAATTATTTTGTCATTTGTCCTTGGTGTTGTTGCAGTTCCCTTTGTAATTTCAGCTTCTGAGATACTTGGTCCTGGTTGCTTTCATTTCAGCAGCGAGTGGAGACTTCTCACTCAAGGCCTGCATAGGGCCCGGAAGCTTGACTTAGGATCTGGTGAACGTGTATCCGACCTTCATGGCTGACTTCCTTCGCGACTCTCCGGGAAGTTTGGTGTGGCGGCTCCAAGAATGGCTGAGTCTGCAGTCTGAGACTAAGGCTCGGGAGATCCGAACCGCTGGAACCACTTCGTCGTCAGCCAGGCCACATGGGAAAAGTCAAAGCTCGTGGCCTCGAAAGGCGTCACAGTCGGCTTTACCTGTACCTTTGTGTTGAGGGTTTCGTCCTCGCCAGGCCAACCAGAAGCCTGCATGGCCCGAGGTCAAGGAGGGAGGTATGTGGTTCCAGGCTGGCGCCTCACGGGTGACACTTTGCTGCAAGGTCGAGTGGTGTAAGAGTCAGAGAGTTCGCTGCGAAGCTCATTGGTATCGGGCAACGTGCCGCGGTTTCGGAGAGTCGTCTAATTCGAATCCGTGGTGATCTCTTGACCTAGACCCAGTCTGGTGCTCAGTCGTGACGAGGGGGACCCAAAAAACCCTGCTAAGACGCAGTACTACCAGTATCAATACTACGGATGCGTAGCGAGAGAGGCAGGTGAAGGCATATGTGCAGGATGCAGTTGGTCTTGACTGACGGTTGCCCTTGGTTCTTCAGCCTCATTCAGCTTGTCTTTGCAAACTGTTGCAACGCTTCTCATGGACCGTCACCGGAGAATAGGAGTTGTGGAGCATCTCCCCAATGGCACGAACAGTTCGCTCAGCATGTGACCGGATTGATGGAAGACCTGAGAACCCAGCCAGGGGGACAACTCATTGCCGGCCAGGTATTTAACATCCATCGCTTTCGCAAGCTGTCATCCCATCATAAAGCTGGCACATCCTGAGAGGGTCCGCCCCAGGATAAGGGGGCACGAGGAGACGAGCGAGGAGGGCGCAGCACTGAGCACTGCAGCTGTATATACAGTATACACTACGATTAATTTTTGGACTGAGTGAACAGGCCTCCGAAACAGTGAGCCTAAACCTGGGCATAGAACTTGGCCTGATGCGAAAGCGCTCTAACCGAAGGAACCCAGATCTTCGAGGAGAGATCTGCGACTTCTGGGATGAGATGGAGGCCTTGAAACCTTAGTTAGGGCAAGCGCCTAAAGGATACGAAGGTTACGGAGTGGAATCTACTCTGAGACCATGGCTGGATCTTGCTGAAGTTATGGAAGGAGGCTCTGTAACCTTCCGGTCCTTGTGTCATTTCCATCGACTGGTAATTAGATGTTCGGCTTCCTGAAGAAAGCCAACGGGCGTGGGCCACACAAGATTCGACCTGCACGCATAGTCAGGCGGCGACAACATTGCCGCATTTCTCGTGGTTTCACGGGGCCGGCTTTTCGAGCAGAGTTGCTAGAGAATATGTCGGATCCTGTATTCTCTTCGATCTTTTTTTGATTATATACTTTTTCGATTTCGGCAGTTTGCACTGCCCCTTGTCGGCTTTACCGGCACAGATACAGCCACAGCTATCTTTGATGGCCATCCTGGTGCCATCCCGGATGTGTATATCCACGCTACTTGCATCAGGTGTAGTGTCAGCCAGGGTGGTGTAACTGGCAGTTTACATACTTCAGTCTTTGATGTCGATCGACTCTCATCTGGGGCGGACCTGTGCGACATCTGACTTTTTTGTGTAGTAATTTGGCAGAGAGCTTTTCGAGACAGAAGCTGACAACTGAGCAGCTTCGGGGGGATGCCCTGCAATTGCACTTTCCACGGGCTCGACGAAGCTTCGGTGGTGCCATGCAATGCGCGACCAATGCGGTACTTGAAATTCGGCGGCTTTTCGCGTGACCAGCCCAGACTGGAATACGAGACGTTTTCGGACGGTTTGGGTCAAGCATGACTATTTATTTCACCCATCCACTCGTTCGACTTTGCATCTTGGGGTCGAGGCTAATGACACACAGGTAAACAAGTCTGTGAGAAACGAAGGGGCGACAGAGAAGCCGTTCAATCGAAGAGCACGCATGATCTTCCGTGGCAATGCTGATGAGCAGATGACATGGCGGGTATTGGTCTGACGGCCACTATTTAGTCCCAGCATGTCTCAGCCATGCGAGCCGCTGCGACGAAAAAGGATCTGTAGGAAAACGGGAGAGGGTAGCCTCATAATGATGGAGTAAATAGACAGCTGAAGGACTCTGCCAAAGATTATGGAACAGCTGTCAATTCGTACAAGCCTCCTAGCACTTGCCAACCACCCGGTGCCCCACACAAGGTGGAATCGGCTGAATTATTCTTATTCAGGGCCGCACGTCAACGTGGTTTGCTAAACAAGGATAAATTGGATACATTAATTTTTCTAAATCTTTATTGAGGAGCGCCGCTATATTTTTTATATATTCACTATACACAGAAGAGTATCTATATAATTATATAACAAAGGGAAAAACAAAATATTCGGGCGATAAATAATATTTCAAATTTCGATTATTATGAATTAAAGTCTTAAATTAAAATATTAAATTTGAGCGAATATTCTATTCTTAATTAGATATCGGTTGACATTAGAAATATATATTATTACTTATTTATTTATAAAATTTTCTCTAGAAATTGAGATATTATTTATCTATTTTCTAAATTAATTTTTGATATTTGTCGTTAATTTTAATAAATTTATTTTTATATTAATTTCTTTTTAAATTACCGATTATTATATGTAATTAAATATTTAGATTTCTAAATTTTTTTAAAAATTATAATTTAATGATATTATTTAAAGTGAATTAATATCGATTCTATATGAAATTTCGTATAAATTAATTTTTTGAGATATTTCTTTTTTAGAATTATTAAAAAGATATTTAATTGTGGAAAAATTAATATATATGAGTATTTATTTCCGAATATAAAGAAGTTGGAGACTTAGATTTTTTTTTAATTTAATTTTAGAAGATTATTTGTGTTTAAAAGATTTTGTGATATTTATAATCTTAGAATAATATATATATTAATTTAGTTACGGTATTAGATAAGAAACTCTTGTATCCGAGGTAGGAAACTTGAATTTCTTATTTAGATAGTGTTCGGCTTAGGGTTATAAGTGATACCCGCCAGGTTTAGGATATTTTGAATATCTTATCGGAATCGTACCGTGCGCTTCTGATTCTGATGCCGTCTAAGGCTTAACATGGACGAATATGAAATTTTCACCGATTTGTTGTATACCCCTCCCGAGTCTATAAAAACTAGGAAATAAGAAATTTAAGGACTGAATTTCTTATTTCTTTG